GGCCTTTGACTTCCTTGAATGTTTACTAGGTATTATTTTTTAAGCTACTATCAATGAACGTTTTCTGACTTTTCTTGGTGACTTCGTTATTAGTTCTGAGTCCAAGGCAGCTTTTGAAGCTGGGGATGGGGTAGAGGATGGAGAGATAAGGACGAGACAATATACAGAAAGCTGAGGTCAGGTGGAGCCCTCTCTCCTGATGGGAGGAAAGGAACTGCTCAACGGAAGCAGCGCATTTTTATTTATACATTTGGCAGGTTAATGTCACACGACACCCCTTGGTTAGCTAGCTCACCTTTCGTACTGGGGCTGGAACCAGTATGTTTGCTGGGGATGCTCCATGCCCTCAGGGTGTTGCTTGGGTACTCTGTGCTCTCAGCTACTTGTGAATGATCACTAGCTCAGCTGCTCACCACAATTAATGTATAGAAAAACTAGTTTTTAAAAACTTTTTAGACTGGCATGGTGGCGCACACCTGTAATCTCAGTGCTTGGGAGGCTGTAAACAGGAGAATCACTCCGAGTCCTATCTACATAGTGAGACCCTGTACTAAATATAAAATAAATAAAACTTCTTAAATCTTGCTACTGTGCAGACTTTGTTCTTCACATCTGAACTAGGGATTGAACTCAGGCCCTTGCGCTTGCCAGGGAAGCACTTACTCCACTGAGCCATCTTCCTAGCCCACCATTTGAAGCCTTCTTAGCCCATCCTCTAAGTATAGGATCATATGTTAAAAAAAAAAAAAAGGTAATTTGATGCCTTCTTTTCCTATTTATAGTCCTTATATTTCTTTCTCTTGCTTAATTGGCCTGGTTGAAATTCCAAGTAACTGTTTCGAATGTAGACATCCTTGTCTTGTTCTTGGTTCGAGAGGAAGTCCTTTCTTTATTCCCATGCAGTCTGCTGTTGGCTATAGGTTTGTCGTCTATAGGCTTTATCATATTGAAGTATTATCTTTCTGTACTAATTTCTTCAGGACTTTTATTGTGGATATGGGGTGTTTTTTTTTTTTTGAAGGCTTTTTGCATTTATTGAAATGATCATATGGTTTTCTTCCTTGATTCTATTTATGTGGTTTATTAGTCATTGTTTTGTGTATGCTGAACCATGTCCCTAGAAAAACTTTTTTCTGAGTTTTTCTGGGGATGGAACTCTGGGCCTTGTGCATGCTTGGCAAGCACTCACCACTGGGGCTTATTCCCGCCCATTATTCCTTATAGATATTTAGTAACCCACAGAATGAATAAAACCTGAAAGATAACATAGTAAAATGGGAAGAAAATGAATTTAACGATTAAACAATGAAGATGAGAGAAGCAGAAAAGATAGGAAAAAAGGGGAAATGCAAGTATATATGCAGGATGGCTGCGACCGCACTCATCATTTCTATCAGGTCTTTTAAAACAGCGGTTAATGTTTAGAAATTTCACCTTGATTAACTCTGTATGCTGATATCTGCAATCTGAGCAACCACCCTGAGGACAGCAATGCGTAATACAAAACCCAAGGTTGACCACCTCACCTTAGTCCAAATGCATACCACGTCTAATGTCTTATCAATCACTATACTGGGGCCGGGGAGATGGCTCAGTAGAATAAGCACTTGCCCGGCAAGCACAAGGGCCTGAGTTCAATCCCCAGCTCTGCCAAAAAACCCCCAAACAAACAAAAACAAATCATTATACTCTCTTTAAAATAAACTTTTTAAAAGTTTAGTAACCTTGTTAGTGGTTTTCAGGGTGACTATCAAAAGTACTTACCAGGGCCAGCCAGGTAGCTCAGTGCATTAAAGCACTTGCTTAGGCAGGCACAGGCGTCAGAGGTTCGATCCCCAGCCTGCTGTGCCAGCCCTGCCCCCGGGGCACACTGAGCCTGCAATTGAGAGTGGGTGTCGTGGTGCACGCCTGTAATCCCAGCACTTGGGAAGCTGAAAACAGGAGAATCCCTACAAGTCTGATCTGTGTAGTGAGACCCTGTGGATCCTGCACTAAGTACAAGAAATTTAAAAAAAATAATAATTAAACAGTACTTGTGAGATTTGTGTAGTTGCCTTGTTTTTGTCTCTTTTGAGGATACCTGAGATTTGATACTGCCCGACTATTCCCAGTTTCTGCTTTAGGAGGCAAGGCCTGAAAAGCGGCACTTTTTAGGTTCCCAGGGATCTCTTTTGCTACTGGTTCAGGATCTACAATTTGAGAATTACTGGTCTATGAAGTTAGAGACACTTTACATTCATTCTAAGTACACATATTCTTTACATAATATACCAGGCATTGTTCTCAGTCTGAGGATACAGGAGTGGATAAAACAAAGTTCCTATTAATCAAGTGTAAAAACATTAAAATGCACAGCAATTAAAACGCTGTAAGTCTGGAATTAAAAAGATGCAGCAATAATACATATTTTTAAAAACCCAACTTGACTTACAGAACAAGTACATATACAATGAAGACAGTTGTTTTTGTTTTTTATGACAGGGTTTTGGTTGGCCTTGAGCTCAGACACAGCCCAGGCTGTTTCTCCCGAGTGCTGGGATTACAGGCCTGTGCCACCACACCCAATTTAAAGATAGTTATTGCAGAATGGTTTCAGGACTAATATGAGCAATTTGGAGAGAGCCTATTTTAGAGTTCCCAATTCCTTCTGGATTTGGATGACAATTTTGGGTAGGCCTTGTACTTTTAAAGTTTTGAGTAGTCTTCATGTTAGGTCTTTACGCTAGGTGCTGAAAATGTGGGAAACATAGATGTCACTTCCCATTCAAGACAGGATGCTCTGAAGTTCCTCTGAGGTGAAGCTTAACAAGCCTTCATTTTCAGCTAATTTGTACTGATGGTGAAAATGTTAGAACTAAGCAGGTTCTTATGGAATCATCTAGAAAGCCTCAGGCTTTATAATGCTTTCCTTACCCTAACATGTGGAAGTCTCAGGCTGGGGAGATGGCTCAGTGGAATAAGTGCTTCCCTGGCAAGCGCAAGGGCCTGAGTTCAATCCCTGGTTCCACAAAAAAAAAAAAAAAAAAAAAAAAAAGAACAAACAACCCGGTTCTGCAAAAAAACCCAAACATGTGGAAGTCTCTCACTCAGGGGGTCTTTCTAACAAGTGAGAAACAGGCACATGTCTAGAACACTTGATTAATGGAGGAAGTCTGTTAAAATCCATTCCAGATAAGATCAACTTTAAAATGAAAAAAAAAAATAAAAAAGAGAATAGAGATTCTTTATCTCAAACAGAGTAACAAAGAAACCTGTAGACTACACAATTTACAAATTAGTAAGAAACATTATGAAACAGATCAACAAAATAACAGATTACATAATGCATGAATTAATAAGAAACAAATGAGTGTATTGATGGAAATGAACGAAAAGTTAAGTGTAAAATCAGTTAATGTAGATAAAAGTTTATTCTTCCTGCTAGAGCAAAGAAAATGCCAATTAAATTTAACTATTAAACAGCAATCCAAAACATGAGGTTAACTAAAATCCAAAGCCTGGTGCCAACCCAAGGCCGATGCAATGTCATGGATGAGATGGAATACTCTTAACAGATGGGTAGCAAATGAAGTACTGTAGATAAAAACCTCTCTAGAACACAGCTTGACAGTGAATATTAATAGCTTTAAAAATATTCAGATACTTTGATCCAGTAATTCTGCCCCAGCAATTCATTGTAAGGAAACCACCAGAAATAGAGATGTCTCCACAGGAATCTTTGACCAGATGTGCTGCACTGCTTGGGGCCAAACCTGACTGTGGGTGAGTGGACCCTGACCAAGGCTTAAATAAGCAGAGTATTTCTTCTTCCTCCGTATCTGTAAGTTCTGAGGCCAGCAGCTGGTCAAGATCCAAGTTCTCATCTTCCTCTGCAACACTCACAGCAAGTAGCTGTCTTCTTTATGCCAAAAAGTGGCTCTGGTACACTCAGGTTTCATGTCCCTACTCCAGGCAGAGCAAAGGGGGCAGGGCAAGGCTCGTGCCCAGCCTGCCTGTCACACGCCAGCAGGTCTCCGCATACATCTCTTACTCTCCACGCGAGGCACGTACCCTCTCGGCAGAAGGCAGGAGGCTCTTCAGCTGGGTACGTTATCATCTCCCTGACCAGAGGCGGTGGCCAACTAACAAGGACAATGTTCGGGGGGTCTCTTTAACTAGGAAATTCTCTGTAACTGTTAATCTCAGGTGTTTGAAGTTTATAGATCTGGAAAATGTTCACCATGTAATACCAAGTGAGAAGCAAGACAGAGAACACACTGCTCTTGGTTTAGTTTAAAAAATATTTTACATATATATACACTCACACACGTGGAAAAAAATACTAATTGCAGCCAGTTGTGGTGATGTCTGTGTGTAAGTCCAGGACTGTGAGAGGCTGCAGCAGGAGGATGACAAGTTTAAGCCAAGCCCAGGCAACTTAGTGATACAGTGAGACCCTATCTCAAAATTTAAAATATTAAAAGAGCTGGGGGGATCTAGCCCAGTCCTAAGTCCCTGAGTTCAATCCCCAGTACCACAAAACAAAATCTAAACATTAGTTGTGGTTAACATCCACATACTGTAGTTGTTATTTCT